ATAGAAACAAGTGTATCAGGATTTTGTTAGTTTCTGAAAAGGTTGTTAAAAGCATCATTTTACCCATTGTGATACTTTTTTCGGTTACCTTCTCTCCTAAAAAAATGTTCTTTTATCATCATCTGCCTACCTCGAGAATCAAATATTTATAGGATAGCTACAGAGGCATGGACGCTACCCAGCCTCCTTCGTTAAGAGACTTTTTGATGATCCCATGAAGCCTCTGTTTGTGATCAGTGGTATTGTCAACCACAATATCGCCGTGAGCATTACCACCGTTATTGTCAACTCTCCATGAATACCACACTTGCTTTTTTGTGCTATCGACATTGCGGCAAAAACTGAATATCATTTCGCTCCTGTTGTCCAGGTTCTGCAGTTGGTATGACGGGTCAAGAGAAAGATAGCCTGGAAACCAACTGTACAGACCCGGGGTACGGCTGTGCGGTTCGGTGCTGATGACCACCTCCTCCCCATTTCTCTCTGAGCGGTATAGCATGCAGCTGAAGAATCCCACCATTCCACTGCATCGCGTGTACTCGGGGATATTAAAACGCAGCATACAGCTTCGCTCGTAAAGACATCCACCCGCAGACTCCCCCACGTCCCCTCGGCTCTCGTCTTGATTCGTAGAGTGCAAATGAGAAAATGTCCAACAAGCCTGCGGCCAATCGAGCAATATCCCACGGGTGATGTGAGACACCATTGGGAATGAAAACACGGCCACGTGGCGGTTTGTACAATCTTCAGGGCACACCGTAAGGCCACGAATCGCGGTATCGAGCACACATTGCTCGATGCTTGTCGAGCGCAGAGGTGCAACCCATGTTGTGTAACTTTGCGGGATGCTGACAAGATTTTTGTTAGGGATAATGCCCTTCGCGGCTTGTATACGCAATAACTGGTTATGAAACGTATCAATACACTCAGGTGAGAGTTCGTTGTCGCCAAAGCTGCCCAGCATCTCCGAAACCAGTAAATCACAGAGCCCAAAGTCATCGGGAAGCTGGACCGATCCAACCCCTGACCCGTTATAACCGGAGTTATCAAACAAGTACCGGCCATCACCAATAATAACCTCCAAGGTGTGATCGAAGGTCGCCGCTTGGTGACCCCATTCCGGATCACAAAGCCAGCGTAGCCGCGTCAACTCCGCAGCCGGTTGATTTTTTTCAATCGCAAAGAGACGCAGCCGCAACCCAAGTGTGGAGGCCGCAGAAATGATCTCGTCTGCAATCCCACCGCGCCCACAGCCAAGAAGTACCACATACACCGTGTGAGCAGCCTGCCGCACCACCGCCTCGCGGTCGGTGTCGACACCTGCGATGGTGGAAGAAATAAAACCTTCGTTGACCACCCCATGGTGAAACACCTTGGGGTCATAACAGGACCAGTCTTTCAAGAACAGTAAAATGGCATCGTGATATCGACTATATTTGGTGGAATCACATTCAAAGATGTGATAAACGGCGTTGGGCAGTCGCTGTGAGAGGGGTTGTAGGGGCAGTTGTAAGGTGTCCTCATAATTTGCGAAGGGCTCACGTGTGGGATCTGCCACCTCCGTGGAATACAACCCACTCATGATCGCGTAGTCGTCAAATAACGGTAAGGAAAGCAGGGGTGCCGCCCGACGCCGCATCAGTTCCACGATGAAAGTAATAAGCGAGATACGGTGCGGGTAGAGCCCGCCCCATCGTGCGGTGTCCTTTGGAAGAAGTTCATCCTGCAGCCCAGGCTGCTCTGTCACCTTGCTCTGGACGCTGCAGGTGCAAGGATCAAGATGGCATAATATTGAATTCCGTCGGCTAGTATCTTCATTCTCTTTTTCACTTACAGTACGATGGCTTAGATGCTCACTATGGTTGTCTCGGGAGCTCGCGATATTGAAGGAGTAATTATTTGGAGACTCAGACGACCCAAAACGCAAGGACGACGGAATACGAGCCAAATCGTCCTTGGGATTTGAAGGATTTCGATCTGGTAACAAAAGTCGGTCCAGTTGCTCGGCAGGTGGTGGTTCAAACACGCCGACGTTCTCACCGAGCCATGCTGAAATGATGCTTTCATGCGTCTCGGAGAAGTAAAGGAGCGGCATGAGACTCGAGATGGCCTCACGGCAAACCACCTCCGTCGTATTGTTGGCCGTGATGCCTTGACGAGGCCCAATTGCTTTCTTAGAGACTGGATCGCACTCGTAGCCATACAACAATAATTGGTTTAAGCGGTGGTACTGAATGAGATGCTCCGGCTTGCAGGCATCACATCGGACCCATATTTTAACTCCGTTAGCGGCCTGGATGAAGGAGACGAGCTCGTCCCTGACATCGCCCAGGAGAGCCCAATTGCGTGCCTCGAAAAGGGATCCCTCTGGTGCGCTTTTGAGGTCCCTTTCGGTGGTATTCGGCTCCGCGTAGGGCATCTCCTCGTCGTGGAGGAGGGGTAATGGGATTTGAATGGCAAAAAAGCCCATGAAGGCGGCGAGCTGGAGCTGCTGTCGGATGCGATCTCGGAGCGCCTTGGTGCCCCAATGTGGGACCGTCACCACGGCGCACATCGAATTTGCCCAATTTGGTGATTCCTGCAAGCTGACCCAGAGTCGGCAGAGATCCTCCTTGACTGACTTCGGCCGGTTCATCGCCGATCGTCGGGGGATATAACCCTCCGAAAAGGCGTCATTTAAGATGGGGTCCAGCAGTGATAGACCTGGCTGACCGTTTCCGCTGGAAAATCGGCTACTACCCATTTCTTGCCATAGGCGTGTTGTGGTGAATTCCATTCCAAATCCATCTTCTGATCCTTGGTCATTCTTCCCGTCCTGCTGATCAGCTCTCTTTTGTTCGACTTCAGCACTAAACCCGAGGGGAAAGGTCCCGAAAGATGCATGCAATAGGCGCGCATGATCAAAAAAGTGGATGAGAAACTTGTCGCTACGCACACCGTAATGGCACAGACTCCCAAGATTGAAAACCTTCTCAGTTTCCCACAGCGCACGAGATTTCTCAGCGGCATAACGCCAATTATCTTTATTTTCATAATCCCTTTCAGTAATCGATGCCCTCTCAGAAAGGGGAAATATATCTTCGCTGCAATCCATATGAACAATTTTAAGCGTATTTTTGGTGAGTTCCTCTTAGTTTGTTAAATGAATCCAGAAAAGACTTTTTGTAAATGGCGAAAATTATCATAAAGATAAGTAGATGAAAAAGGTCAACCCAAATTTTCAGATAAAACGACAAAATAGAGCAGTTTCAATCACTAAAAGGATTTCGAATGACATGTAAAAGCTATATTTCATATAAATTAGTAATATAGAAGAACGGATAATAGAATAACTACAGCAAATATTTATCCACAAAATAGTGGGTGTGGTCACCCCTTACTCAACCTCCTCTGGCCTAGTTGAAGCCAAATCGTGCTTATCAGGATAGATTTGTTATTCCAGCGCGGTCATCCATGAACATACCAAATTTTAATCATTTAATAAACACTAATACTGAAAAATGTATCACTGTTACTTAAGACAATACTAAAGTTGTTGTTTTTTCAGAGCTATACTTACCGCAGTCATAAAAGAAGCACGTTAAGATGAAGATAAAAGTCTAGAAAGTAAGCGATTGGAAAGATTTGCTGGAGGCAATGACTCCAATGATCAAGATGCCATCTCAGCTACCAAAAAATAGTCTCCACCCGGCATCCAGAGACAATGGAAACAAAGGTAGATCACTCAGGTCAACCTGGGGGTACCACAGCTGATGACGTGCACGCGGCAACTGTGTCCGTATCGCTTTGGTGATTCCCATGTCAATATCATTGAACCTTACGCGATGGCAAGAAGCGATTTCAGTACCCGTTGCCCTTGTAAGGTCATTTATTGAGGTGCATCTAAAGATATATTTGTCGGATAATTCGAAGAAACAAATC